ATTCTGACATCTGGATTCTTTTTAAGAAGTGCTTAGGAACTCTTATGGGCTTACCTTGTGGCTCAGCTGGTAAACAATCTGACTGCAGTGTGGGAGACCTGGGTTCGATCCCTGGGTTGGGAAGATCCCGTGGAAAAGGGAAAGGCTGCCCACTCCAGTATTCTGGCCTGGAGAATTCCATTGGACTGTATAGTCCATGGGGTTGCAAAGAGTCAGATACAACAGCGATTTTCACTTTCACTTTAGGAACTCTTATAATTTCCCCCTCTCTTCTTTCCTTATTTTTGTTCTTTTTTAAACCATTCCCCTTCTGATTTTTTTCTATTTTATTTAACTTTTCTTTTCTTTTTTTTAAAAAATATATTCTGGAGAACACAACCATCTCATCCTCCTGCTAGAACTTTTAAAAAATGTATTTTCAAATGTTTCCTTATTTTCATTTGGGAATCTCCAAACAGACCACCTCTGTCCATTCATCACATTCATTCTGACGCTTACATTAAAATATCATTCATCATTTCCCTCCTTTTTGTCATTTCTAGCACACACACCTGCTTGCTTCTGCAGTTTGAATCTTCTGTTTGGGTTTTTCTTCCTTCCTCTCTCATTGCTGTTTCTTTTTAAATTCTAAACAACCTCAGTTGATTTGTGCTTCTTTTTTCTACTATCATCAGACTCTAAAGGCATTTAAAAAAACCTGTTTGAGGTATATCTTCCTGGCATATCCCCACAAAGTAATATTAATAACTTTGAAGGACAAAGAATAACTCCATCTACTTAAAAGTAAGAGGTATCATTCCTGGCAGGATTTATATTCTGACATTCTACCATCTTGCCTAGAATTTAGTGAGAGGTTTAAGTCATTCTTGGGCCTTCCACCATCCAATCAGTAGAAGACTTGCCTCTTATGCCTCAGGTATCCACAGGGGAGCTGTGGATACTCGAGGACCAGACAGGGAAGCAAGATGAGAAAAGGGAGCTCTGACTGTATCCCCCTAATGAGAAGAACAATAGGAACATGGTAGCTACTGCCACAGATAACGTATTTTGGAGAAAGCAGCTCATTCATGAGTATATACCTTGAGTTTCTATAAAGGTAAGAGTTGTTTCTGGCAAGCTGTTGCATTTTGATGCTTGCACTGTGGGACCACCATATGGGGAGCTATTGAAAGTCAAGACACTCCCTATTGAATGCGAGTCTTAGCAGCGTGACCAGGTGAAAGCAATGGTGCTTACAGAAGTGTTGGGGGAACTGGAGAGCTGCCTTGTCGGTCTGGGACATGGAAAGCACGCCAGAGACTCCAGCACTGCTTTTCTTGTTCTCAAGTAAGAGGAGAGCAAACTCCGGGAGGCAGTGCCAGTGGGCTACAGTCCCCGGGGTCGCAGAGAGTGGAATACAAGTTAGCGCCTGAACAATGACAAAGTAAGAGGGCTGGAATTTGGAGGGAAGGAAGGAGAGAGAAGAGAAGACTCCTCCGGAAAGTAACAGAACTCTACTAGCCATACGAAATGGTTACTGAAGTATATTATATGGTCATAGTAAAACTATATGCTATTGATGGCTAGTCATATTCTGATAGCATAATCTGTTTTTCGGCCTACCCACCATCCTTGAAAAAAAAAGTAAAATGTTAGTCACTCAGTTGTGTCCAGCTCTTTGCGACCCACGGACTGCAGCCCTCCAGGCTCTTCTGTCCATGGAATTCTCCAGGCCAGAATACTGGAGTGGGTAACCATTTCCTTCTTCAGGGTATCTTCCCTACCTGGGGATCGAACCTGGGTCTCCTGCATCACAGGCAGATTCTTTACCATCTGAGCCACTATGGGAGCTTCTATCATCCTTACCTGGAGATAGACTTTTCTGGCACTAGGGACCAACTCTCTCTCTCTCTCTGTGCATCTGTTATCTGCAAAGTTCTTTAAGTTGTGCTCTACAAGTTTGCTCAGGCTAGACTGGTAGTGATTCATATGATGCATCTGATTTTTGATTCAAGCCAAATCAACCTCTTCATCACCTTCTTTTCATGAGTTTGAGTAAACTCTGGGAGGTGGTGATGGACAGGGAGGCCTGGCGTGCTGCAGTTCATGGGGTCGCAAAGAGTTGGACATGACTGAGCAACTGAACTGAACTGACTAAATGTGTTAAATAAAACCACTTAGCAACTTTCTGGCCAATTCACCATTTTTGACACCAAACTTAGACAACGTATCTCTAATGGCACAGCTCCCACAAGTCACAGAATTTCAACTATAATCCTTATTTTATATGTTCTGTTTTACTGTCCTCATCTAATAGTAACGGTAATAATAGCCTTAATCACCAGATTATGTGTCTTGAGTTGGGGTTTGGTGTGAAAAATATTGTCTGTATACATACAACCCATGTTTAAGTTCAAGGAATCCTCTAGCTTGGGTTATAAGGCACCCAAGTTATCATCTTAGGGTGTAACAAAGCTGGGGCTGAGTGAGGTTCCTTCTCAGAAGATCAACAAAATTAGGTTAGGGACAGGAATACAAATTATATGCGATAAGCAGAGAAGCCACAGGAGGTCTTCTATCAGGTCCGATTTCCCCTTGGAGCGGGAAGTCTAGAGATAGCAGAGCTTCATGCTAATAAGAATAAACAAAGAGGGAACAGGCCAATTCACAGCTGATAAATTCTGAGGAAAGAGAGAAACCGCCTTAGCCGATAAGGACACTAAAGAGTTGATTAGCCCCCAAATTACTCTGCAGCAGCTCTGCAGACTGGGTCCTGTAGTTCGTTTCTCTCTGCCAGAGCCGTAACCTCCTCAGTGTAATCTCTTAGAACACGAGGGTGGAACATCTGATCAAGGAGGAAGGCAAGCTAGCCTTCGTCCCACGGGTAGGGGCTTCCTGGGAGGGAGGGGAAAGCTGCCGCATGGGCTTGCAGAGGATGGATGCTGTGGTTTCTATGACAACACTGGAGTGCAGGGAGGCGAGAGAGGCCACTGTATTATCAGGCAGAAAAAGCTTTGAGGGCTAAGGACCAAACACCTACATCTGTCAGGACAGACAGCAGAGCTCAGAATTTGTGGCTCAACTTTCTTGACAGTCCACGTTAAAGCAGCACAGAAAGAGTAAACAGTTAGGTAGAAATGGAAGAGTGAAGAGAGAGCTATGAACGGGGAGAACTGCAACTCGTAGTCAGGAAGATGGGAAACAAGTAACGTCTGGTTTGAGAATGACGTGTGCGCGTGTGTGCATGTGTGTGTGTGTTGGGTGCAAGGAGGAGAGCTGAGAGTTGGTTCTGACCACTCCGCTTCCTAGAGAACAGTACAGGGCAGGCCTTGTTTTACTGTGCTTCCCTTTATTGTTGGGAAGATATTGCATTTTTTCACAATTCCAAGGTGTGTGGCAACTCGAAGTGGAGCAAGCCCAACGTGCCATTTTTGCAACAGACTTGTCTCTGTCTCCTGGTTTGGTAATTCTTGCAATATTTCCAAGTTTTTTCATTATTATTATATTTCTGATGGTGATCTGTGACCTTTGATGTCACTACTACAACTTGCTTAAGGCTCAGATGATGGTTAACAATTTTTGGCAATAAATTTCTATGTTAAGGTATATACGTTATTTTTAGACATAATGCTATCGCACATTTATCAGGCTACAGCACAGGGTAACTTGACAGTATAAGATAGACATAACTTTTATATGCACTGGGAACCCACCCCCCTCGAAATTCACATGACTTGCTTTTTCATGACACTTGCTTTACTGCGGGCGTCTGTCTGATGTTCAGTTGGCTCTATTTGAAAAGGAAAGAGACAATTCAATCTTCTCTGACAACCTTTTATGAAGTTCACCTAGTGAAGGTGAGCAATTTGAAAAGCAAAAGAAGGAAAACTGGATAATGAGAGCTTCTCCTTACAATGTAACCATATCTCTGGCAATACACAAACATTCTTTCAACGCTTCCACAAACTCCCTTATGCCTATTTTACCTGTGAAACACTTGAAGTGTAACACAATTAAGATCTTGTCTATGGTCCCATAAGCACCATGAGGTGGAGGGATGCATGTGTGCTCAGGAACTAAGTCATGTCTGACTCTCTGCGATCCCATGGACTGCAGCCCACCAGGCTCCTTTGACCCCGGGATTTCCCAGATAAGAATCCTGGAGTGGGGCTGCCATTTCCTGGTGGAGTGAAGAACTGACTCCAAACCTGCACTTGTAACCGTCACCAACCTGCCCACGTGGACACTCCTAGAAGGGCAGGTGCAGTGAAGGTGGAGGAAGGGACTCACACACTAGAAGATCACACGCAGATCGGGTGACCAGAGAGGTCCAGACAGAAACGATAACAATGCCTTCTGAAAAACTCAGTCCCAAAGGGACACCAAAAGCGAACAGCTCCATCGCTGGAAACACAAACGCTAACTCTCACTTTCTACTCTCTGAGATTGAAACACAGCAGCACAGAGGATGGGCGCACTGGGAAAAAAATAATTACTTCTCCACTCTGGGCTTACGTGGGGGGTGGGAATCATAATTCTTTTCACAGGCTGTAAAGTTAAGAATAAAAAGACACTGGAAATACAGCTTCAAGGGGATTGCTTTCTCTTCCTGTTTGTTTTTTTTTTTTCATCCCGGCCTTTCAACAAAAGAGTTTGGGAACTGCCTTGCATCTTTTGGACTGTTTCATTATTAAAATACTGCTCTTGAGCTCCCAATTCACAGGGCCCTAAAAACTGCATCGAGGAGAATCATCACCTGGAGATGAGGACAAGAAATGGAGAACAATGTACATTATACAGTAGCTTGGTTACCTTGCCTTTTCCCTGAGTGATGATAATCTTGCATTTGTTTCAGGGAAAACAGGGAGCAAAATCACTCTATCAGCACTCAGACATTTTTCAATCAATCTAACCTGTGGGGATCAAATTTTTTTTTTTTGGCAGCAGATAACCATGGACCCACGAGAACTTGTCGACCTGAGTTCTGGCACAGGCTCGCTCTCCTGCTCAGCATCTCTCACCTCCCTCATTGTCCTTGCTGTCAGTGCAGAGGGTCTCCATGGCTACGTCGCATCCTGCTCCTCGCCACCCTGGCTGGCAGACACAGTGCCAGCCGTTTTGGTCCAGCGTGCACCTTCCATTGCTGTTGCACAGACCGGGACACCCCTCTGTCAAAAGAGACAAAGAAGGACAATACAAGTGATTTGAGTATTTAAGGTTTTTGCATCTCAAGTAAACAGATGAGGGACACTTAGTGGGAACAGGCCTTTCGAAACAGCACAAATACTGTAATTGCACATGGATAGAAAGAGCAACGTAATCTAAGGAATCTGATTCTTATCCAAGTGGCATCTTTGATTGGCCTGACCCTTGAGACACCACTTACCTGTGCAGGACAGAAATATCTGCAATGACCCACTAAAATTGCTGCAGACCAGACAAAATTAACTTAATTTTTTTTCCTTTAGCAAAGCAACAAGGTTGATCATAAGGTGCGAAAAAAGTGTCACAGCGAGATCATTTCAGAAGCCCTAGAATCAATTTTTAATCTGCTGTAAATATTACTGGTCATTGGTTAGGCCACGTCTTCTTAAAAGTGCCTTGTTGCTTTAAAACACTCCCTCTAAATTTAAAAGCATGAACGCGTGGGTATGTGGCTATGAAGGATGTTCAAAAGAGAATGTTAATTTTATCTGGCCTCAGAGTTGCCGTATATTCATGTGAAATTACAGTGCATTAAATAATTGCACAAAGTATAGGCCAGTATCAATGACTATACTTTATGCCGAGAATACATTCCTTTTCACAGAATAAGCAAAGCCCAGGAAATAGTGAAGCAGCTTAGCATCTATTCTAACAAACATTAGGATTCAGGCTGCATACGGATGGGACGGGACTGACAGGATTTCCAACTAAATGTAATAGCTGTGCATATCTGATTACTCAGGACGGACAAAATGAAATACCATAAGGACCACAGTAAAACATCGAGAGACTGAACAAAAACACGATAGTGACGTGCTTCAAGACAGAGCGCAAGAGAGTGAGAGTTTGTGACAATCTCCCTAAAGCTTTTATGCTGTTACCTTTATATCCTATCTTGTCTGCTTTTATGGGCAAGGCGGGAAAATTTGGGAAACAATGAAAATAATTTAATATATCCGAAAGCTATAATTGTTTCAGTCTAACATGACATTAAAAAGAAAAAAAAAAACAAAACAAATTTTGCCACTTCCTACAGATGGTACCTGGCATGCAGCCAACATAGTCTGTTTATGAGAATGATGCTAGGGTAGGTTCTGGCGCTCTCCTCTATGAGTGTGACGTGACACCGACAGAAACGAGGGTATAAACGCTCTAAGATGGCAAGAGTGATGGGCTACTAATCAGATCTCTTTGGAAAGAATTAATTTATAATTTGGTATTAAAAAATATATATATATTAGTTAATGCCTGCTCTAGCAGTTGGGGGTTTGTTCTAGCCTCTTATATAACTACAATGCTTGTTTCGGTGACAAAATTTAAGGGAACCATCTCTTCAAGGATGTTTATTTTAGGTCTGTATTAAAAGAATTATTCATATAACTGGCTTTCCCTCTTTCACTGTGGAACTTGAAAAGATCTCAAAGAGACTTTCTGTCTCTTCAGATTAGAGTTAACAGAAAGAAGACTGTTGTGACAGTCCCTTGCGGCCGGGTATGATGAAATTAGACTTACGGACGCCATCAAGTCAGGAGAATATTAATTTTGCTGCTTCTTTTCTTTCAGACAATTACCGTCTGTATTTATGGATTATTCAATGCCTAAAAGGTAAATTTTCCTTATGTATGTCTCTGTTTTGTTTTTAATGGAAAAAAAAAAAAGGTTTAATTGCCCCAGTGACAAAGGGGTGCAGCAGCTGACTGCGTGCACACAAGAAGTTATTACATGAAAGCCTGGATACTGCCATGAATATTTTCATATTCTAATGAAAAGCACAAACAAAGAATTGAAAAAGGTAATCTGAGGAGCAAGGGAAAGGGAATCTTCTCTTCTGAAAGATATGCTTTTCACTTATTTCTATGATAACTGAAGACAAAGAATCTGCTGTTTTCTGCTGAGCAGTGTTATCATTTCATTCTCTAGAATGCACAGTATTTTGTAGATTTTTTTAAAAGAAAATCACAAAACATAAATTATGATATCACATATATTTTGAAACATTGAGATACAGCCAAAGAGGTTTCCATATGAGGATAAATGAGATTTCTCTCAACATATGTTAACCAGAATCTTCTTTAGATTGACAATTTCTTATTCTGTGATAAGAGTGAGTGTTTGTGATTCTTTGATTTAGAATTTAAAGCTTATGAGGTGAATTGCCAACAATGAAGATCTTAAAGCCAAAAAAAAAAAAAAAAAAAAAACAACTCCATAAACAAAAAACAGCAAATATACTGTTATCTTCAGTTTTTGGTTCCAGTGAAGACTAATGCTTTTACATAGGAATGAAATCTGTGATAACCCAAAATTATAAAAATGAGACACAGACACTGAAGTCTCAATACTTTAAATCCAAAGGATTTCACATAATGTAGGCCTGACTTATCATTTACAAAAATATGCAGGAAAACAATCTATTTTCATACCTAGTACAAGCTAAACACGGTTATATAGAGATATATATGGAGATATGTCAACAAAGAGCAAGTATACAGTACCTTTAACTATCTTATCCAAATAGTGAGCTTGAGAAATTAAAAAGGAAAAAAGAACAGACAGACATTTCAGAAGTGTCACATGGGACAAGGAAATTTTCAGAATTTACATGCAAATTGAGCAGCTGCAGCTGACATTAGACATCACACGACAGAGATGCACTTCATATCTTCTACAAACGCAGTATATTCCCATTTTAGCAAATGCAGTCACGATTCCAGTAAATACTCAGCACTTTATTGGGAAGTGTGCAGGTAAACTAACACTTCCTTTTGCAGATTATTTGGGACGGACCTACTCCGATTCTTCCTAAGAAGAATCCTAAGAATTCTTTCCTAGCTAAATAGAACAAATGGAATCAATTTTTGTCATTAGAGAATTTCAGAAATTTACAACTATGAGATTTACAAATATCAAACTTTTGGAGGGGGTGAGAAAATAATTCTCTTTCAGTTTGTTTTGAACAAAGTAGTTTCATAAGGGTTACATGGTGGAAGGGCAGAAAGAACACACAGCAGCCCTGGAGGAACCTTGATGCATTTTCAGATGCTTTCTTCAATCTGTGACATACACCCACAGAAATTCTACTTCATTCGCCTCTCTCGAGTCGCTTGCATATTTACAAAAAATCAAACTTTAATTGTTAATAATAAAAAAAAGCGCAAATGTAATATAGTATTATGAAAAAGGCATGCATTAAGTTCTACATGATTTACCCAGCAGCCCTTGACTACTTGTCAGATGGACAGTGATGTAACCCATGTGCAGTCCATTAGGAAATACAGACTGTTCTAAGATCTTGTTTCCTTTCAGGATTCATACAGGAATAGGTTCTGTTTCTCACAAAAGCTTTGCAGGAAGAGTCAGGATGAAGACTGAAGTCTCTTACTGTACCTGTCCATTTAATCTTTCATGAGGTTACAATTAGCCTACACCTTTCCTCTTGAACAGAAGCATAAAAATCCCTCTCTCTTCACTCAACAGAGAGACCTAATATATTCTTAATAAGCCTCAAATCTTCTTGCTTTGTCAAAATTCATGCATCTTTAATGATCTAAAATTGCTTTTCAAAGACGCTTATGTTGATTATTTTTCATTACTGACATATGCAAGCGGTCGCGGAACTCTTAACAGAATGATTTAAACTATAACTTTCAGTTGAGCTACTAAAGCCTGGCAGTTCTGTCACGTGCATAAACAAAACCATAAATGGTTCAGACCCATCTGCACCGTTTATATGAAAGGATGCTTCACTTTGCCACAGGATTCCATTAGAGGCTTCTGAACTGCATTTAAAAATAAGCATGTTTATAGCTAATTGACAATATATTGCGGGGGAAGTGAAGGGGGGGTTCGAGAAGCAGTGTCAGGCACTAACCTGCAATTATAATTTCATAAAATAATTGTTTTTCAAGCATTAAAATAGAACTGTATTACTGTATAACATCATTCATATAATTTCTTAATAATTCCTTCCAAACATTATATAATCCAGTAGAGTCCCATGAGCGCTTATTTGATACGGAGGATAAACAAAGTGCCTTAAAACATTCTGGAGTTTCTGGTTCAGCCAAGTTTGAGGGAATTATTAATATCACTTATCAGAGATGGAGAATAAGCTTTTGGCTTTTATATCAGGTCCACTTCAATTAATACACAACAGTAAGGAATATAATTAATCCTGATCTGGATTAGAAGTTTTAAAGGAAGAATAAATCAGAATATAGCCAATCCTATTACTTTCGCAAACAGAAACAATTATGCAAAACAGGGAATTACAGGTAAAGGAAGGTTTGTCATTGGACCAAGAGAATGTCAAAAGTGGAGCTGAAATTAGAAAACAGATTTAAAATACACAGCAGGTCAAATTTTATGAAGATTTAAATATTAAAAATGTTTAAGACACATTTTGCAAACCAACCATAAGAAAAGTATCTGCACTGAGGAAAAAATACCAAGATTTGTCATTTGCATTTTATATCATAGGGAACAGTTGTTAGGCTGATAGCTTAAAATTAAGAGAGGAAGGAGGTAAAAAGAAAAAAAAAAACACCTTCTACCTTTTGGCCTTGAAGAGTAAAATTTCCAACAATACCACAAAAGCCTGGCTCTAAATAACAAAGTTAAAAGAAGATGTCCATAGATGAGGTTCAAAGAATTATTAAAAGTAATAATTGCAACAATGAAAACATCATTAGATAAGTCAATACAGGAAATTATCAGAAAAATGCAGGCATGTTGTAAAAAGCCATTAGGAACAATAATCATAAAAAATAATACAGTATATTTAAAAATTAATACACCAAATAATTGCTGAACTGCACATTAAGTTGCAAAAAAAATCACTTTGAAAATGAGTAAGTGTATTCTGACACTGAAGGAAAGTTGTTCCTATTAGATCTACTAAGAAGCTTTAAATTTGTTTTATAGAAGAAAACTATTTATAAATATGAGTGCTTGACATATAAAA